TTTTGAGTGATATGCAACCATTTTACTAGAACCCGAGAACCCCCTAAATGTACACTTAACGTAAATTTACACTTGATCAGTAACTATACTGTTCATTCTCTCTGAAAAGGTTTATTATCCCTTTGAACACTAAATCCTCTTATGTACAGACACTGTGGTTTTAAAATTAGGGAGAAAAAGACGCAACTGACCAAGAGACAGACAAGTCATCACTTCCCTTTTACCCTCACATCTTCTCCCATTCTTGTCCAAGACATTCTGACTTGGATATGAGAAAGGGGCATTTTCTGAAATCATAGAGACCTTCTAGTCTTTGTTTACCCATGGGCTGGTATGCTTATTTCGGAAACTCTTAAACTGCATTTTTAAGATGATGACTATATCTGGTAGTCACCAAAAAATTAAAATGTACTTTTTGAAAAATGCTGATGCAATGAAACAATGAGATTAACTGGATAGTAAGAAATGAAAACCTAGGAAAATTAACAGAGAAAATTTCATCTCAAGTACAGGAATGTTGATTTTGTTAAAAAAGAAAACTAGTTTCATAAACAAGAAATTACCTATGGTGGAAAATTATGAGAAGGTTTTTTTCGGGCAGTTAGCTATAAAATAGATAATAACTGGAAGGAACTTAAAGTGAGACAAGAGGCTGCTGCAATAATCTAGATGTTGTTCATTTATCAAAAGCAATTTTTAAGTATCCACAGTATTAATGACACTTTATTAGATAGAAATTAATGCTTACTTGAACTAGGGCAGTGACTACAAAAATGGAAATTATCCTACTGAATATTAATACACTGATTAAATCAGTTCTGAGACCATTTTTTTTTGAGAACTTTATGCCTACATTTACAGATTTTACATATTTGAAACTGATCTACAGTTTATAGATGCTTTCCAAAAATAAATTGAATCAAGAATCATGGGGAGAATTTAGCTAACAGTCATAGATCAACTGCTTGTCAGTCTGTACCAAGATGGCAATTTTCGAAGTTAAACAACACAAGTGTCTATTAGGACAGGGGAAGAGAAGGAAGAGCACTGCAACCCCACAGGTTTTGTCAAAGGCTCTTATTTTTTGTCTCTTATTTTTATTCTCACCAGAGAATTGAAATCCATCCCAGTCCAGTAAGACTGCTTTTAATGAGTTGTGAGCATGTTCATTAAAAGAAATGAATGGAACCAAATGGTCACCATTATTGATTATTTCTGCCCTTGTGGCTTTAGACTGGAAATGGTTTCCAAGAGTCCCAAAAGCCATTCCCAATTTTTTTTTTTTAATTTGATCTACACTGTTGTGGATACAAGTCATTCTAGCCACATGTAATCTGTCTGACCAGGCCATAAAATGTCAATGAATAAAGGAACTGCATTTGAAAGCCTTTTAAATCCTTCAATATATTAAGTTTATACTGAACTAAATAAAAAACAAAACAAACAAACAAAAAAAAAACAATTTAGTCCCAACTATGACTTAAAGCATAGCTCAGTGTAAAATCTAAAAATGTGGCTAAGAAATGTCATCTCTGTCATTGTCCTAGTTTATAAACATAATGTTCACCCCTTAGAATTTTTAAAGTAATATTAATTACAGTATTAATTACAATGTAAGTCCTTTTTGAAAGGAATTCTGGAAGATTTAAACGTAATCAGTGAACATATGGGTCTATTTTCAACACTTGAGTAATATAAAGGTATCTCAATCTATATATTAATATATACTCTTTTTAATAAAAAAAAAATTGCCCTTGGGCTCCAGCGTTTGTTTACTCATTCTTATATTTGGCAAACATTTATGGATACATGTATAAGGTATTATGTGCAATATAAAGGACTGGGCACATGAGGATGTGCAAGACAGAGTTTCCCATTTTTAAGGAGCTGACCGTCTCATAAAGGAGAAAAAATTAAAATGCCACATGGAGAAAAATAGAAAAAGGGCTACTATAGACATGAGCACTTAGGAGAATACCTAAGCCAGATTGAAGATTTGTATTTTAATGTTGTTTACTCTTTTTCCAGTATATTTAAAATTCTGACAAAAATCTTAGAAATTAACTATGAAAAAATGGCCATGTGACCGTGTGGCATCTGTAAACTGCTCAATATTCTCACTGTGTGAAAAGGGTCTATAGGCATCTATCGCAATGACTAAATGACTATTTTTTAAATAAGTTCATCAAATATTTCCCATATTTTGACATTCTTATGAAATCTTTGAAAGCCCACCACATTTCATATTTTGAGAGTATCTTTCTGAGTCAAAATTCTTGTATTTTTTCCCCCCATGTTTCTCCATTTTTCTCTAAACAAGTAAACAGTTCTTTTCTTTGGCTGGTAAATATGATTTACCTGCTTTTGGAAGGAAAATAAGAAACAGTAAAGAAACTGTGGTGCATTTTCTGCTTCCATAAATGGGTCACACTTTGTCAGATTCTTAATACATTAAGCCTTTGTGGAGTTCTGTTTGTCTCAAATACTAGGTTGCTGCACTGGATATCAAAGGATAATTTATTTTTTTATAAGTAGACTTTTTCTCAGTTACTTTTTTTAACCTCAGAACCTAAGTACTTCAAAACATATAACTGAGACATCAATTAGAATGTTTAACCAAAAAGAATATCAATTTTCATTTACCTTTATGTACCTGTACACTGCCCTTCATGTATGGGAAAACTGTTACTGTGACCTGTAATCTGTAGGAGATCTGCTTTGTTAATTTTCCTGTGGTGGCGATGAATCTGAGGTGAACCATCCCTGAGAAAATGTACAGTGGCACTGCCAGAAGAAGCAGCTTCAACCAACAGGGAGATGAAAATTAACCATCTTCATAGGGACTGAACAAAAGCATAGGCAACAACAGAATTACATAGAAACAATGGTAGAAAATATATATCATCAAGAATGTGCCATTCACAATCAATTGCCTATAAGTTTTAAATTTTATCTGAACTTTTACTTTTTGATTTCTAAATTATTTTTCAAAATTGTTTATGCTGTAATCTTATTTGCTAGGATGAACTAATGTACTCTGCCAAACTTCCCAACCAAGATGTTAAAATATGATCTATACACATTCTAATTCATGAAGTATTTTTATTCTAGTAAAATGCATGAAATATAAAGGCTCCATAAGTGTTTTCTTTCTTCATTACTGCACTGGTATTTATCATGATAACTTATTTTGAGTTTGCTAGATTCTCATACTAAGATATTCTTCTCAAGTGTCACATATCACTTTCTTCTAAAGATCATTTGGTATCAAAATAACATTTAGGTATATCAAAATTCATTTTGACTCCACACGTTTCTCTTGGCCATACTCATAATATTTGGTGCCAATCCTTTCACAGTCATTCCTATCTGCTTTTAAGAAGTTTTCATAATAATGAAGAAGCAATGTTAAACAAAAGCAATGTTAAACAAAAGGATAAAGAGCATCTAAGTGGACACTAGTACCTTCATCTATAAACAAACTTTTACCCTCTTCTCTGTTATGTTGATTCCCATGTTTCCTTTAAAATCTGTATTTACATTTCAAAAGAGTTTCACAGTCTTTGAACCAGTTATCAATTATCAGTTGGATGCTGTTGCTGATTGGTTTATAGTTTTCTTCTCTAGTTTGGATCAAGTGACCATTCCTATGGAAAAGCCACTGGAGACAAACTCTGAATCCAGACTCACATTCAGATGATTTGTGCTTTCCCTGTAACCACTGTCCTAGATTCAGGTTTCCACTGCCCTACACTCAAGTTGTTGAACAAAATAATTAACTTATCTCTCCACCTCCAATCCCCTTTCCATCTGAGTGATCTATGAACAGAAAGCTTTAGAAGAATTTCTGCCTTATTACTGCTCCCAGCTTAAAAATTTAAATGACCTCCTATTTCTACCAAGTCATGATTCTCTGGTTGACATTCAAGACCCAGCACCAACTCATCTCTGAATACCACTGCTATAATTATTTGTCACAATTCAACAGATAGCCCTTTACACAAACACAAAGACATATTTGATATTTAGACTTAACTTCGGCCACTGCTTCTTTGAAAATATTTTCTAACCCTTCCCCCTTTCTCCTGAAGTGGATTAGGTATTCCTCTTGCAGAGTAGCTTTGGCAAACTTATCAGAAAATGTAACACAATGTATTGTCCTTTTTTTTTTTTTTTTTTTTTTTTTTTTTTTTTTTTTTTGCTTATTCATCTGTGTCCTGTATAAAGATACAAGCTTCCTTAGGGCAGAAGGAAACCATTTGTCTTTATAGCTCCAATATCTCACATTATATTAGCACGTAAGGGGTGCTCATAAACGATTATTTAAAATGATGGCATGTCCTGAATAAGTATTGTGTTTCTGATGCTGATGCCAAAAACTGAATCATGTGTGTCTTCTAGGTAAACAGCTGCCTTTCCCTTTTATCTTTCTTTATGTTTCTTCCCACTTCCAAAATTTGGATCAAATTTAACTTCCTTGGAATTGGTCAGATGTTCTTCAAAGAAAGTCAGAGGTGCTACTTGAGAATCCTAAGCTGAGACAAAGCAATTGTTTCCAAATCAATCCTGCCTCTTACTGAAGTGTCTAAAAAACCACAGAATACAAGACAGACAGAGTATGCAGAATCCTGATAGGAGAGTTCACTATTCAACTCAGCGCTAAAAATATGCATCCAACTCCAAAATGTCATCTTTAGGACGGTTTATATCCCCCGAGTTTGGAGCCTAGGCTCCCCTCAATTACCAATGTGATGAAATCTGTCCCCTACTCAATACTCGTCACTTTTCCCAGGACACTCTTCTCTGGCTCAATATCTGAGGACCCCTGAGAAACCTCCCTTTGTTGGTAGCTATTTCGTAACTCCTTGTTTCAGGCATCATTTGGGAATTTCTGTTCTGTAAGCATACAACTCACTGTTGCCATAACACGATGCTTGATTGCATTTGAGAAATTTCCAACGAAGCCTTTCTCAATCCATGTATGTCTGGTTTGGTTACAGATACTTTCCTCCAAATACAACCCTGTTCACCATGGAAGACACGAAAAGCTTCAGTGGTTGCTGCTGGGGGCCTTCACCACAAAACAGCCATTCACCTTTGCTTTTGCTCTATCTACAAAATATATTCACCGGCACACTCCAGAAGTCAACTTTGATTCAACTACAGCCTTCAGTTACCAGGCCTTATCACACATCTGTAAAACTGGGAAATAAACAAGTGTTTAAAATATGTCCTTTTTTTGTATTTCTTTCTACTAGTGTCATTTCTTATTAGCTTGATATAAACCTTAACTAAAGAGGCAAGAATAAGAAAGTAAAAATAATTGAACTTTTCAGTCACCATGTCATTTTATAGAGTAGTATATCAGCACATAGTTTTGCTATCCCTTTGAGTTCATAGAAATTAATTTAAAAATTTCCTAATGGGCACTTTAAAATGTGTATTGACCCACAAATCTGTAAATGGTTGAAAGAAATCATCATTATTTGAGAGAAATCATTAACTCAGGTGTAGGAACATAGAACAACTGCAAGATTATATTTCACAAAGCAAGATCTGTAAAAATGTATTTACATGGACAGTAAGTAAAAATGTGGACTCATAAAGAAATTTGAAATTTATCAGAGAAAGCTTTGAGGAAAAGTAAATTTTCGCTATTCACTTCATCTTTATTTTCAAATACGTTCATCTCTATTCACAGGTTAGATGTTCTACACTTTAAAATTCGGCTTTATAACATTATAGTTTTCCAGTATTATTATTGATCAGTCAGCTTCAGAACATATAAACCTCTTTAAAACAAATATAGACCTAATGCTACAAAACCCATTTGTCCAAAAATCTTAGTTAATTCCCTGCAGTCACTTCTAGGATTTTATCTTTCTTTAAAAAGTTGTGTTTTCTCAAACTAGGGATATTTCCGCACAAAGTATATCTCTTTCTATTAAATCAATGCTGAATTGTGTATCTTTTTTGATTAGTGAGACTGAAGTTTTATTTTTCTTTTCTTTAACACAAAATAAGAAAATTAAAAAATACTAATATTTAGTCTTCTATATATGGGCATATGGTACTGTAAAAAGATATGCCAAGTTATGGATGCAAAGCTGCCTGAAAATGTTATATTCCTTAAATGATGTTTGGGACATTATTCCTTGTCTGCTGAGAAAGAGAAGGGGCCACGTTATTATACTGAAAAGTGCAGCATTGCCCAAAGAAGTAAGCCTTTATTATCTGGACATTCAAGTGAGAAAAGTTTGGATTTTTACTTACTGTCAATTTTATTTACTGTCAAGTCAGTGAAAAACCACACATGCCCTATTGATGAACAGCAAATAAGTATCAGCAAATGAATTTTTCTGTCATTGTGACTATCAACTGGACAGTATGGAAATGCTATCTCTACAATTTCAAGGACATTTAAATTATTGGGTTAGAATACATTAAGAATGAGTAGGTAAAATATTTTTCTTATCTTCATTGTTTTTGCAGATCAGACTTGACTGATTGTACTAATTAGACAAAATAAGAGAAGCTCTATAGCAAAACTGAAAAACTTATATACCTAATACATATGCCTCGAGATCACAAAAAACTTCTATTTGCCTGTTTTCCTAAGTCCATGGTATAGTTTTACAAAAGAGCCTGCAATAATAGATAATAACACAAATTCCATGTAGTATAGACCAGTAGCCAACTGATAACCACGTACAACACATACAGTATGGAAGTATGCTACAATAAATGCTACAAAAATTCAGAAGTGAGAGCTACCCCTAAGGAGTAGAGACATCTAAAAAGACTCACAGCATAGATGGAACTTAGTACAAAGGGAAAGAGAGCCTTTTAGATATGCAGTTTGGTCAGTGGAATGGGGATGGATCCATAGTGTTTAAGAGTAAGCAAAGCCATGAGTAACGTAATTGGTTTGAAGCACAGGATTCATTTATAGACGTAAGAGAGGGTGAGGTTGAAAAGATATGTAGGAGACAATTGCAGGGTCCTCTATCGCCATGAAGTTTGGACAGCAGGAAGACGTTTATTCGGTACCTACAGGTGTGCCTGTTACTTGAGAGATGCTGCAGTGGGTTCTAGTTAGACACCTCTGAAAAAGATATTTGAGTTTGAAGAGTGCATAAGGAAGATGAACTTCACTGGGAAATACAGGATAGGTTACAATGAAGATAGGCCAGTTTAAGTAGTATTGAAACAGCCCACGCAAACAAACAAACAAACAAAACACATTATACATGTGGCAGTGGACAAGAACTGAAGGCAAGGTTTATGGAGAAGAAATTCGACCTGATAATGTGGGAAGAGAAACAGTTCAGCAAGTAAGTTTGTTGGCTCTGGGAAAGGATTATGCTTCAGGATTTAAAGAATATGCAATGCAGTTCTGACACTAACAAACCAAGTTAGGTCAAACTACAAAGGTTAAGGGTACAAAACCCACAAGACTGCCCTCACTTGAGATTCTAGTCACAGGGTCTGAAGTTCCCAGGCCACCCACACTTGGGACCAACTGGTTGTAATTTTTGAAGTTCTCACTGACCTCTCAGGTTTGAAAATTCACTGGAACAACTTACAGTGTTCCATAGATTATATTAATGCTTCTAAAAATTCAGAATTACAGTTTCTTTAGAAGGGATGAAAGTCAGGACCAGCCAAATAAAGAAATGCATACGGGATGATCTGAGAGGCTCTCAAATATGAATCACCCATGTCCCTAGAATGTATCACTCATTTGGCACATCAATGTGTACCACCAACCAGAAAACTGAACTGAGCTTCACTGCATTGAGTTTTTATTGGGGCTTCATTACATAGGCATGATTGTTTGATTCACTGGCCATAAAGTTGAACTCAAAATTCTGCCTCCCTCTTCCCCCAAGCCAGAAATCAGGCCAAGATCACATGGCTCAAAGCCTCAACCCTGTAATCACATGATAGGTCTTTCTGGCGTGGCCAGCCCCAATCTTTACTCATCTAATCAGCATAAACTATCTAGTGGCCCTACATTAGTCATCTCATTAGCGTAAACTCAGGTGTTTATGCTAATAAACCATAAATAAGGAACCCTCCTATGACATGGGAAATCCAAGGGTTTAAAGGCTTCCAACCAAGGCCTAGAGACAAAAACCAGCCAAATTCTTCATTACACAACAGAATGAATTTGAGGTAACTATTGGCTCTTCCAGGTGGAAACTCCAGCAGGCAGATGAAACTCCAAAAACAAACTGAAATAAGAGAAAAATGAAGACTAGAGATGTGGCTTCAGCCACAGAGTGAAAGGCCACTGATACGCAATTCATTGTTCATAGCTACTCAGCAAAGGCTGCAGCTGAGGGCGGAGTCCTTGACAAGACATTATGCATAGGAAAAGCAAACCAAACATAGCATATTTTTCTAAAGAAATCAACTCTTAACCTGATACAGACTTCATCTTGAATAGAAGTAACTGTTTTTGCATCTCCTTTCTTAACCAAATGTCTAGCATATATATCTCTTATGAGCAGATAAAACAATCTCTTAAAAAAAAGTGTGATTTTTAAAAATATGTAAATCCAAAGTTAACACAGCAGTGACTTAAATACTTCATTCTTGTTAGACAAATACAAAAGTAATGAGGTCAAAATTATTAATGCTCCCTGTATTTTCTGCACTGCATACCAGGGGAAACTTGGCTGTAAATTACCCTACTTGGCATGTCCTCATTTTAATTAACAGTCACCAAATACTGCAGTTTTCAGCTAAGAAACAGTTGAATAGCAACCAGCCTCCTCTCTGTACCTGCAACAATAACTACATGTGTCTACCGCTGAAGAGAATTTTATCCAAATTAAAAATACTACTTTTTCTTTTGTTCTGCAACAGTGGCACAATTAAAAACTATATAAAAAATGTATTTCTATTTAGGCTATTTATCATTCAATCTTTGAATGATCGGGGTGGATTCCAGAAGAAATATGACTTCCTTTAAAGTATATCTATAAGTAAAAAAGGAATATATTGTATGACAAATTATAATACACTACATTGGAATTTTGATTCTCTCTACTTCTGTAATAGATTATGGACATCTGGCAAATATAGATGAATTTTTCTGTTATATCAAATTAATAAATGCAATATATCCATTTGTTCACACAATCAGCATTTATATGCATGCAAATTATTCACAGTTCCATGGTTAGGAGTTATGAGAAAGTTGCTTAAGAAATCAACCATTTCTATAACATATTAGAGTGCTTAGTTTTAATCACAGTGAGAACTTTCATAAGCATTATCTGATGTGTCAGTTTGAATCCTGTGAGAAGCAGATTTCAAGACAGAATTAGATGTGAAGTGATTTACTGGGAGAAATACCTGCAGAGAATAAAAAACAGGAGCAGGAGCAGGAAAAGCCTCCAGTTTCTGACGCAAGTCTGACATCTTGGAAAGGAGAGAAGAGAGCTTGGGTAGGGCGAACAATACAATCCCAAGGCAAAAATGGGCCATCAGCTAAGTGCTGTGTCAGGCAGGAATTGCCTGGCTCTAGTTGCTCAGCTGTCCTCAGGTTCTTCCTGGGCTAGGGGCAGCCCAGGAAGAGCATGAACTTTACATGAACATGATGATGCATCCACAAATGTAACAAATAGAGGCTGTTTGCCAACTATTCTTGCAGTAGATTCTTTTGAAGGGGATATCTGCTTGGTACACTTCCATGGGCACCATAGTCCATCGCGAATGTCTCAGAGTCTCCACACAGCAATTTTCAGTTCACCCCCATATATCAAACTGACCTGTTCATAAGCTAGACAGGCTATTTTCCCTTCTTCAGCTGGTCATAGGGGACAACCGCTATCAGGCCATATGTGCAATTTGGAGCACAGGCACTGAAGCAATTGTGGTGGGTAACATGAACCCTCAAAGGGTTACCTTCTTATGTTTCCTACTCCTGCCCTCTGGTTCTGCTCAAGCTCAATCCATGATGTATTATTTCCATCTTAAAATTAATGAAATACTAACGGACTCATTCAACTTTATGATTTCTAGGTCCATCAGAATCCAGTTTATAATGAGTAATACTGAGTGGAAGGTCACTTGTTACTCCATGGACAACAGTATGTCTCTATCAGGGCTCAGCAACACAGCAGGAGTTGTTTCTCAGGAGGCATATATTCTGCTGCTGCAGATGGCACAGCCTTGCCCCAGAACTCCGGAGACCTGTGTTATAATTTTCCCACTAG